TGAAGCCGCTGAGCGGGGCCGGGTGGGTGCCTGGTGCCTCTGCTTTTGCTCTGTTCCTGTGTGAAGTCGGTGAGTTGTAACACATGTACCAAGCCACGTAACCGCCACCGCAGTCTACAGGCAGAGCGGCTGTTCGTGACCCAGACTGCCTGTGCTGCCCCCGGGGCCGCCGCAGCCCCGGGAGCCCCCCGTCCGGCTGTCTTTCTGAGGGGGTCCTACAGACGACTCGGGTGGGGCCTGGTTCTCTGAGACCGGCTTCCGCTCAGCGCAGCACCCGCCAGCTCTCCGGCTGCTGTGTGCACGGTCTTTGTTCCTTTGTATTGTGCACTGCTGGAGTCCTCGGCGCACCTGCCGCGGGCTGCTTATCTGTCCGCCGTAGAAGGCCAGCGTGCTGTTTCCAGTTTTGGGTGGCTGTGAGCAGCTGCTGTAAACCTTCGTGTGTCGGTATCTGTGTAAACAGAAATGTCCGCTTCCTAGGGCAGAGGTTGGCCTCCTATACCTGTGGGCCACGTGCCAAGCCCCTGCCACCAGCACCAAGGCACGCAGGGGGCGCCCTTCGTGTTTGCTTAGTTGACTGCGCTGAAGTTCCCAGAGCGGCTCCCTGACACTGGATCTGAAGTAGCTCTCCCGCGTTACTCCTCTCACACGACTCCTTCCCCGCGGCACCTGCCCGTGGGAGTAAATGCTAATGGTGCCGCGTGCTCGCTCTTGCGCGCGCTCAGGGCCTGGTGCGCGGGTGCTCAAAGACTGATGGGTGGATGGGTGGACGGAGGGATGGGGGCGATGTGGGGATGGAGGGTTGAGTGGAGGGATGGGGAGGGATGGGAGATGGGGGGATGGGTGGGGGAGGGGGAGGGGCATGGGGAGAGATGGAGGGACCGGTGGAAGGATGGGTGGATAGGTCACTCTGGTTCCCCAGGCTGAGAATGGAGACAGGAGAGAAGATAATACATGTAACACGTGTGTGACCACAGCGTGATCAGATGCCTGGAGGTGGGGGCCAGGCACCCTGGGGGCCCCGAGCAGAGGCGGGAAGAGTCTCTGGTCCTCTGGAAACTGCACGCCCCGAAGGATGAGGACGGGCGGGGGGAGGGCCCTGCAGGTGGGAGGCCCTTGAGGGAGTCTTATCGCAGACTGATTTGGGCTGCGATGGGGCCACAAGCATGGCCACCTGCCCCGGGGGAGGAGGGGCGTGAGGCTCTCCCGCTGGCAGCTTTGCGGTTGGAGGCTCCTTCTAGCTGCAATTCTTAGATGGAGAGGGGGTGGAATGACCGTTTTGCAGGTTTCAAATGAGACCAAAAAGCTTCCCCTGGCTCTGGCTGCACCTGGGACACGCTCCGTCCTGAGCCCGTGTGCCCAGAGCTCAGCGTGACCCCCGCCCCCGGTCAGCAGGAGGAAGGGCCAAGGGAACGGCTGGTGCTGGAGCAGCGGGCAGCGGGAGGCCGAGCTCGCATGATCTGGACGTCGCTGCGGGGAGGGAAGGATTTCCGGGAGGCGGTCAGCACACTCACGGCCCCCGGCTCGTCTGCGGCTGTAAACTGAGGGCCTTCACCGGGCGCCACGGAGAGCGACCGCGGGAGCTTACTGGGCTCTTCACTCTCCCCGCAGGGACAGGCCCCAGTGAGCCGGGTGACCGTCCTGTCCCCCGAGGCCCCGGCACCCTCTCTGAGGGCAGGCCCGGGCGGGGAAGGCCCCCCAGGAGAAGGCACAGCCTGGGCAGAGCAGACCCAGGATCAGAGTGCCGGGTGCCCGTGGTGGGTGTCGGGTGGGGCACGTGCCCTGGCCACTCGTGGTTCTGTCTCACCGCCCTGTGAACCAGCGAGGACGGACGGGAGAGAACCCAGCAGGAGGCACTGAGAAAGCCTGGACCGCTCGCAGGACGCAGCAGTCGCCTTGGAAACATGACCCACGGGCATGGGTGGGCGCCGATGGGGGAGCGGCAGTGCCTCTGGGCTTCATGCGCAATTTCTCCTATAACTCAGGGGCCCGAGGAGTCTTCCCCAGGCTGAGCTGGAGGAGACGAGAATCTTTATTTGTGGCTGTTGTGGCCTGAGGGGGTTATCGGTCATCCTGTTTCAGGCACAGTGAGTTTGAGACGCTGGGTGCAGCCTGTGGGGTAGGGGCAGGGATGGCCAGTGGGCAGCGGACTGGGAGTCGGGCACAGAGGGAGGGCCAGGAGACCCCGCACTCTCACCAGCACCCGGGTGACCGGGGGCCACCCTTCCCTGGTGCCTCAGCCCCGTTGGGGGCTGTGCCAGGACACCACACCCCGCAGACAAGTCTCACAGCCCTGGGGGCCGGACGTCCGAGGTTGGGTGCTGGTGTGGTCGGGGTCTGATGAGGACCAGCTTCCAGGCCTGCAGACGGCCCCTCCTCGTGTTGCATCCTCATGGGGGGAGAGAGGGAGCATCTCGCTCTCTGGGGTCCCTTTGATCAGGGCACCGATCCCCATGAGGCTCTGCCCTCCTGACCTCGCTGCCTCTCAAAGGCCCCTTCCGGGGGGCTCCGGCTTCAACACATGAATCTGGGGGACACAGTTCATCCACGGCATCCAGGACGGGGTACCCCATTCTCCTTGATGGAGGCCGGAACCAGCGTCAGCAGCCCAGGTGTTTCTTAGGAGAGCCCTGTCTCCTCGTCTGGGAGGTGACATCTCGGCCCCGCACAGCTCACAGGGACGGCTCACAGGAGGGAGCCCCTGGAGCGGGTGCAGGCTCCCAGCCCGTGCAGGGGGGAGGCTCTGTCCCCCAGGCGCCCAGTTCCCAGGTTCCTAGGTGGGGCCCTCGGGCAGGTGGAGACTGGCTCTCCAACACCACCTGACACACAGGCCCAGGTGGGGCGCCGTCACCCGAGAGGCCTTTGGGGACAAGATCTGCTTGGCCGCCCCGCAGGACTGCTTGGGCTTAGGGCTTCTTCCTGGGAGAGAGGCCTGAAGTCACATGCAGGTGGACAGGGCATCTGTCCGTGTCTCTCTGGATCCAGGCAGCACACGAGGCCACGTGGAGGCATCATTGGGCCTCTGGGTCCTGAGACGGAGGGAGGTGGGGAGGACAGTGGGGTGAGGCAGGCCTCCCCCCACGGCTGAGCTGGCCCTCCCTGCACATCATGCATGCACACGTGACTGAGGACCAGGTCCCACCAGGAAGTGGCCTCTGCTGGTCCCTCACACGCCGGCAGCTCCTCCTCGCTGACCCTGGTGAGAGACATGCCCGGACTCCCCGAGGCTGGGGTTGGCGTCTGTGACCCAGGCTGTTGGAATGGTGGGTTCTGGGCCCTCCTGGGTCTGTCCCTCCCGACACGGTGCAGTC